CGAGGGGAAACGGGAGTCAAATAGCGGTTAAAACTTTCTAATTTTTACTTGTAGTAAATATATTGAGCTGTTAAAAGACTCCAATAAACCAGGCGATTGACTTGTCAAAGCTGCTTTGATTCTCAAAAAAGAATGATCTCGAAACTTCAAACAACATTTTTGAAGAAAATAATGTTCGAAATATATGCTTATTTCATCGTTAGTATTTTAAGCTGTTAATAGGGTCTTGGTCACTATACCAGTTTCCTGTTTGAAACTGTCTTAAGCTACTCGGCAGTGATTTTAAAGTTTCCAAGACATATAATTCTGAAAATCGTTAAACACTAAAATACAATTGCAGTTACTGCATGTAAATAATAAATATCTAACTATGTTTGTAACTTGAATTTAATATTATTTCAGTACAATTGGAATTGCGGAAATCAATTGCTAAGATTATGATCATAAATAATAAAATGCGTAGTAATTTTATAAATATCTTTCATACACTTTAATAAAATATATACAATGAATCAAATCAGGTTCATAATCCTTTTGAATGTTATAGACAGAGGGGTTTTCAGGTCCCTTTAAGGGTAGTTTAAGGCTAAGTGATTTTTAATTTGTGGATTTTATTATTTTCACATTTTTCTATTGCTTTTGTCAACCCAACCTAGCTTGTATTTATCGATATATATGTTACCGGCAAAGTAAACGCCGGCTTTGTATAGAATGCCTAGGAATTGTATAGAATGCCGGATGTTTTTAGGCAAAGTATGAAATGTTAGAAATATTACATACTTTCCCTAGGCATTGTATATCTATAGAATGACAAATGTTATTTAGGTAAAGTATGAAATAAACGTCCTGATGAGGTTATAATGTAAATGATGTGCATGCTACTGTGAATGACCGAAATCGGTGGTTGTTGACTTTCACCGGTGAATGTTGACAATCACTCGCTTTGCTGAATGTCCGAAATATTTATTACATCCGATTTGATGTTAATTTATTCATGGATATAATTACATTTATTCGATATTTTAATACTTACTGACGATAGATTAGAAGAAGCATCAGTGTTTGGAGTATCGGGCAAATATATACCGGGCAATGGCACTTGACCTTAAAGAACATCAGTATAGGGTATACCGGGCAATGGCACTTAACTAGACCTAGTATGACTAGACCTTTGGAAATTGTCCGAAATATATACTAGGTCTAGTGCCACTGCCCGGAATACATTTGCCCGGTATATTTTACACTGACGTTTTTTTAAGGTCAAGTGCCATTGCCCGGCATATCCTACACTGAAGTTTTTTTAAGGTTCAGTACCACTGCCCGGTATACCCTACACTGATGTTTTTTTAAGGTCAAGTGCCATTGCCCGGTATATCCTACACTGATTTACAAAGGTTTGTTATCACCTCATTGTAAGGTTTGTCACCCATCTCATTTACATCTTAATTTTCTTTTCATCATCTCTTACTCGCTTAGATATGGTTTCATTTGAAAATAAATCCATAAAATTTTGAAAGACCCTTGCACCACTAAGGGCACAACAACAAACAAATGAAAGTTAACAATAAATAGTAAAAAATATGATAGGGCATTTACCCTTAAATAAACAATGTCCAAAATGAAAATATGGGCCACCAAGAATAACTTTTGAACTAAAATTGGATTTTCACGTTCTAGGACTCAATCTTAAAGGTTTGATAAGTTACAAAATCTGACACAAAAACTTAATTTCCTTGAATAAGCATAACTTTTTCAACGAATTCGAATTTCTGACTCACAAAATGTAGGGGATAATCGCAATCTGAGGGTCCTCATAGTTTGGTCAGGTCCCTTGGACCTTTTAATTTTATTTTTATTTTTCGTGTTTTTTCCGATCTGGCGATTAAGCTTCCGATTAAGCTAATTTGAAAAATTATAAAATTCGCTTATCCAAATATAATTGTATGCAAAAATAGCTTTTAATATTTTTTCAATAATATTCGAAAAACTTTGAATTATAAGGTAGACAATTTTTTGCATTATTTTAAAGAATGCAAATTCACATATCAAAATACGAAGCTTGAGTGAAATCGGTTAAATAGTTCCTGAAAAATCGAAATTCAAATAAACCGCATTTTTAAAATTCGATTTCTCAGAAACAACTCGACGAATTTCCCTCAAATTTTATATTTCGTCATGTAAAATTACGTTCTTTAAAATGGTGCGAAAATTGTTATACCTTAAGATTCAACAACTTTTTCGACACCTTTTAAATAAAATAGTAAGACAAATTAAGAAATAAATAAAATTAATATTTAGAGGTCCAAACTTTGGGCTGCTCTCCTGACTAATGACCAATGCCTATATTTTGGTGGTCAGAAATCCAAATATGTCGGGGGGAAAAGACATATTTATTCAGAGAAAGTACGTATTTGAATCTTAATTCGTAACTTAAAGTATCGTCTGCCCTGATTAGTTAGCATGTTTGAGGTCATCCCCTTGAACTTTTAAGATTGTGTCCTAGAACGTGAAGATCCGATCATTAGATCAAAAGTTATTCAGGGTTGTCCGCACGGTACATTTAAGGGTAAATCAGTTGTGCATATCAGATACCTATGTACGTATCAGATGTACAGCTTAGGTCCGTCTGATACTTTCGTTAGTTTAGTTTGAATATGTGCTGTTTAGTGCCATATGTGCTGTATCTTAAAGCTAGAACACTATCATTAAGTTAAAAAGCAAATACTCTACAAATTAAATAAATAATCCCAAGAAGCAGTAAGATATTGATTTTAAAAAATTCATTCGCTTAAAATATATACTGATTCGAAACATCAGTCGACTCGTTTCAACGCTCAATAATAGGTGCTCATTTTCAAGACTTGCCAGGCGTGAAAGAGGAGAAACTAAAGTGATTTGAAATAAACGTTAAGTGGCAAAAGAATAATGGGAAATAGAAAAAAGGAAACAAAATTAGAAAAAATCTCAGTAGCCGAGAGACAATAAAAAAATATGTAATAAAACTGAACCAGAGAAACCAGTGTGTCTGAGAAGAGAAATTCAGGGTAAAATGCATTTCCACGTGCTATGGAGGGGTGGTGAGGAACTAATGTCACTCACTAAAGAATCAACAACATTCATGCGAATGAAGAAAGATTCCAGGGTATCAAGATGTGCTGATGTGATCTCTGTTATCAAAAATAAGATAAATCAATTCGATAAGGCAAAGTTATTCCCGCACCCCGGTCACATCAACTCATCTTGAAATCTTGTGGTTTATCAATGAATGCCGATTCTCTGATTAAAGACATACTTTCTCACTACCTGTCCATAGAGAGTGTGGATGCACTTATTTGTCCTTCTCACCCACTGTGTTCTTCTTAATTTTCTCTCAGCCTTGTTTCTCACCTTAATTTTCCATTTTTGTTGACAACTTAACTTTTAATTTTCGTTCATTTCACTTTGTTTTTTCATTTACATCTGGTAAGTCTTGCAAATGTGTGACTTTTTTTACCATTTAAAACAAGTCATTTGCTATTTCCAATCTTTTGAAGCGAATGAAGTTTTTTAATGAAGTAAAATTCCCAATTGTTTTCATTAATAAAAAAACCTTTTGCCTCAGTGTAAAAAGAGACGTGTACTTTCATGGACAGAACTCGCCGGTACCCCTAAGACATACATGCTAACTCTTCCGGATTTTCCGGAAGATTTTATTTTTATATTTAAAGTGGTAGTAAATATATACTATTTTTTCTTTTATAAACTTAATTTTCAAATGATTTTGATCACCGCTATTCTTATAAAAATTAAGCACATAAATTAATGTGGGTTACTATCATGGTTGTCTACTATCAAAATACTATTAACTTTATCATACAACTCTACTCAAGGGGATCTCCCCATTCCAAAGATGATTTTCACTTCAAAACTAAAGATTTACTTCATTAAGGACTTGATTTGTCGTTACAACATACTACAACTTCAAAGATATTTAGGACCTCCTAGAATACGACAAAACAGAATCGATGAATCGGTTAGTGGCGCCAAACGCCGAGATAACCCCAATATCCAGCATCCAGTAGATCANGTATTTGTTGGTTTAAAATTGAAGTTTTAATTCCATTTTAATACCACTGGGAAAAATGATAATGGAAGGGATTAAAAGTTAGCAGGTATGATATATTATGGCAATCTCTCCGTTATCCTGGAAGCTTTCTCACAGTCCTTGAAAAATATTGCAAAGCATGTCTTGAATTTATAATATCTAATGGGATACCTGCAAGTGACGTAGTGTGATTACCTTAATCCTGATGGGCTGTTGAAACGGGGCATTTGTTTACGTTAGCAACTGTTCTTTCCATTTTATTTCGAGTAAGCCATGCCCTTCAAGTATCAATTCCCTTAGTGACACTTTCTAAATTCTTTCACTAGATATTTACGCAGAGATTTAACACAAAGGCATGCACGAAGCCATGTGAAACATAAACAAACTAATAATGCATCGAAGTTGCCAGGTACGCAAAGCAAAAATATATATGACGGAAAATACATTTAAAAAAAATAATAAGTCTAAGTTAAGTAAAAGAAGCAGACGAGATATTTCAAATAATTCGATGTGCGATGCTGGTTTTGTATATAACTAACTTATCGTTAACATTCTAACTTATGCAGAGAAACTTAGTTCAACTTTTATACACCATTTTGTTGATAAAGATTATTTGGCGCTGACATCATAGGTCACGTGTGTGGGTATGGGAGGTCTTCTTTTTCTTGAAGTGCAAGTACCCAATTGATAAATTGAGCATATGTTGGCAGATAGTACACCTATTTTGAACAAATGTTCTCCCAAACAGTGTATGGCTATAGAATTTCCAACAATCTTATATGCTTTCTAGTGATTTACCTTTTGATATTCTATTTACTTTTTTGGATTTAAACATTTTTTCAAGTTACAGTTACGTTTAGAGTTTTGCATGTTTGAAGTTTCTCCACTTAACTCTAACTTTAACTACTAATTGCAGGCAACTTCAAGTCTACAGAATAACGATGCACAAGAACCTGTTTATGGCCCTTGTTCTGAATGCGCTGATGTGTATCACCTTCAAGTGTTTTGTCATTCTAGAAGAAATGGATAGCCCCGGAAATAGAATCACAATTTTAGAAGAAAACGGGGTAAGTCTTCTAATTGTTTTTCTAATGCTACAGGTTATGTCTTATCACCTCCCATCATTGGCTGTCTTATCATCAATCCATTTTTACTTGCTGTTATCAACAACGTCGGTTGTTTGGGAAAATTTTAAAAAGTTGTTGTATAATAATTTATACATTTGTGTTATAGAAAATTTCAATATAATCCAAACCGATGTTACTTCACGAAACGTTATAAATAATAAGAATCTTTGTAAAAATATTTGCAAAATTTGCTGTGAAAAAGTGAATATTGAAATAGTGAATATTAATACAATGCTAAATTAAAATATAGACGTGGCTAAAAGTAAGACGAAAAAGCCAGTAGCTTTACTATTTCAAATATAATTGATTTATGCAGGGAGAAAAATAAGCTTTTAGTGTTTTAACCCATTTACATACCTGCCAACTTTTAATCCTTCCCATTTTCTTTTTTTCCAGTGGTATTAAAATGGAATTAAAACTTCAATTTTAAGCAAACAAATACGTTGTATTTGAGAAAACTTAAGTTGACAATCATGATAGTAACGCATATTAATATATGTGTTTAATTTTTGTAAGAATAGTGGTGATCAAAATCATCTAAAAATTAAGTTTATAAAAGAAAAAATAGTATATTCTTACTACCACTTTAAATATGAAAAAAAAATCTTCTGGAAAATCCGGAAGAGTTAGCAGATATGCCTTTTAGATAATCATTGCGAAATAAAACAATTAATCTTTACGTAAAAAGAACTTTTGGGGAAAAAGTGGTAGGACAATTATATGTAGACTAATTATAAATTTTCAAGCGTTAGCCACCGCTCTAGTTTTAAAATATTAAAGGTCAAATAATTGAGGATCTTTATGATTAGATTCCATATCAAAATATAAATATGTGCATAATTCAGAAATTATGGCGAATATGACAGTCTAACCAGNATGCAATTAATAGTTATAAAAGTGAATTAGCAAAGGATAACTAACAAAAAAACATGCTAACAATTAATTAGCAAAAAAACTAGTTAACAAGAAATCACACAAAAATAGCAATGTAGAAAAACTAACAGTTAATAACTATAGAAAACAAGTTAACAATTAATAACTAGCAAAAAAATAAATAACTGTTACCAACTAATACAAAATTAGTCGAAAGAAATAATTATCTCTTAATAAACGTGCTTTTGTTGTACATATTATTTTATTTCACATTCAAAATTATTATCACTAACTATTTAACACAGTGTATTATAGGTAAGTAAACAACTTTTAAACTAATTTTTTTTTATTGTGTGCCGGCAAATTTCGAAATCGTTAAAATTGTGCCGCCACAAAAGAAAGGTTGAGAATCACTGATCTAATAGATTAAATTCCATATCAAAATATAAATGTTTGCATAATTCAAAAATTATGGCGAATATGTCAGTCGATCATACCTGCCAACTCTTCCGGAAGATTTTATTTTCATATTTAAAGTGGTAGCAATACTCAGGTTATTCCAATTAACTTCTTGAATTATAATGATAATTATAAAGAGTTTGACCACCACTACATATAAATAATTACAATAAATATAGGAAAGCATAATAATCCTTGCGCAAGCGAAATTCAACGGGGTCAAAATGTAAATATATTTTTGAGTCAGATTGTTTTTCGTTTACTGTTTTACAACCACTTTGAAAATCCATTCTCGGAAAGAGTGAAAGTTGGCAGGTATGGTCTATCCGGAAAAAAATGCGTAAGTTTCGCGACGGCTATAAGCATAAAAAATTAATCTTCACGAAACATTGATGTCTAAGCAGAAAGTTTTTTTTCAAGAGTAGTCCGAAATTTGTCGAAACTTCAACGAATTGGTTTAGGCGAATTTTTTTGACATATCCCACTTAATTTTTTGTTTATTTGTTACAAACTAGTTTGAAAACTGGTGCTCTTAAATTCTCAACTGAAGTTAAATATTCACGTTTTCTTAAAATAAAATTTAGCTCATTATGAATTTATGTATGAAAAAAAACAGAAAATTTCTTTTAGATCGCATATAACACACGGGAATATTAAATTAGTACTTTTGGGAAAACTTTTTCAATCCACATTCGATTCTAAATGTAAAAAGTCATCTGATTAAGATGTTCTGTTTGAAGAATTAAATTTTAAAATGTCAGTTTTTCTGAATCTTATGCATCATGCTAAAATATTCGACTTTAATTAGATTCTTCAGTTTTAATTAAGGAAAAGCTTGGATCATGATTTTTAAAACTTTTCCAGCAGAAATGCAAATTTTTTTATGAAAAATAGTGCGTTGATATTTTCATTAAGATGCCTAGTTTTAACAGTGTAAAAATTACATTATCCAATCAAGAGATTTAAATTAATCATGGTAACTTCTTGAGACAAAAAAGCTTTATGTGCATTCGACGATATTATAAAACTAAAAGTTGAAATCTTAATTAAGGATCAAATTTAGTAAAAATAGAAGAGTTTAGAACTTTATATCTACGGGTGATTCTTTTTAAACATGGCAATTCGGACCAAAAATTTTCTTCAAATTTAAGGTCTTCAAAATAATCTAAATTTTTTTGTATACTTTTTTAATTACACTTATTAATATCTTACAGACAGCAGTGTAGTTTATTGACATTTGCTCGAGAAAAAAATAAAATAGAAATTCACCAAATCTTGAATGCCAGGAAAATGACATATTAGCTTAGAAGTTTAAAAAACAGTCATTTTAAGTAAATAGTAAGTAACTCAACTTAGGAATTTATGTTAGATGGAAATGTTTGATTAAATTAATTATGTTATGTTTGATTAAATTAATTCTTTTCCTCCACTGTAGGAAGAATCAAAAATGTTTTTGTTGCTGATATGTACAGAATAAAATTGTGTATAATAATCAATCATTAGATAAATAAATAACTTTAATTACACTCAAGCATATTACAATCCTACATAAACTTGGTATTAGGTTAATATTTGCTTTCTCTCCTAACTGTATTTTCAGCTAACACGTTCACGCCGGGGTGACCCACCGGGGGGTCACGCTAGATAGACTCAGCGGGCGGCGCACCGGTGTAAAAACTGGTAACAAATAAATTTCAATTTTTAGTTTTTTTCCGGGAATAATAAAAATCCATAAATACCAATTGTTTTTAACGGATGCAATTTTTATATTGAATTGCTTCTTCGCCGTGATAAATTTCCTTACAGTAAATTGTTATTGTTTAGAATAGATTCTAATAATGAAATAGTTCTTCTACCAATATTTTCTCTTTTCCGTCCAGCTTTCAGGCGCAACACCCGGCGTGAACGTGTTAAAAAAAATTCTGGTATGACTTCCATGTTCTTTCCCTAACAATTTAAAGCAAACCATCTTAACAATAAAAGTTCCTTATCTTTAAAAAAAGTTTTGCGCTAAAAACACCCGATGCAAATTTTTGCTTATCTTCTGAACATTTTCGTGACTCACTGACAAATGTTTATTCTTATTTAAAAACCTGCAGACTTTCCTCTGAAACTTTGTATTCAGTTTAAAATTGAAAACATAAGAGAAATTGGCTGCATTATTAAACTTTTCTCATACTTTAAAATACCTCCATTTTATAAATATCACGTTTCTATTACATATATTCCTCGCTTGCTGATTTATTTTAACCCTCAAAATTGAAAGTTAAAATTTTTTTTCCTATTATTTCCTTTTTTTTCAAGTTATTTTATAAAACAGGGTTCACTATACTCCTAAATGGGTCGTTTTAAATAGCAAACGAGGTACATGCATGAATCGTAAACTTTCTTTTAACTTTGAAAGAAAATATCAAAATCTTTTGTAGAGCAATTGATAATGAAAAATTTTTTTTACGCATTTAGAGCGAAAATATCCTAGATTTTAACACAAACCGGAATTCGCTCGGTCTGAAATTTTTCTTTTTTTGAAGTGGTAGCAANCTTTCTTTTAACTTTGAAAGAAAATATCAAAATCTTTTGTAGAGCAATTGATAATGAAAAATTTTTTTTACGCATTTAGAGCGAAAATATCCTAGATTTTAACACAAACCGGAATTCGCTCGGTCTGAAATTTTTTTTTTTTTTTGAAGTGGTAGCAAAAGTGAGATACATCTAGATATTTTAAGCTACAAGGAAATATACATGAGTGCAAAAAATACCTTGGAAATAAATTCATAATTCCTGATTGCAAACAGTACTAAATTTAAGATTTTTTGAGTAGTAGGTTTGAAAATTCGTGCCTACCGCTCATTTAATTTTGCCAGGTCGTATAATCCTGGAAAAACAAACTTTCTTCTACTTTTACTAACACTTCCAAATAGAACTCTGAACAGCATGGAAATGTATATTTGGAACCATTATGGACCATCACAGATTGTTGGTCCATGAGAATCAAACCTCTCTTGAGAGTTAATCATCATAGTGTTAAAGTAGCATTTTCCATCATAGAATGATGGGAAAATGTTGGCATACCAAAGACCATGAATGGAAAATGATGGATGATGGTGACCATCATGAATCACACTGAAACCAACATAAACCATCAAAATAGAATTTTGACTTGGGTATGTAGTGATAGTTAAAATAATTATAAATCATTTTTGTCAAACAAAGATAAAAAATATTTACGTATACATTTTTTGCCACTTTAACATTAACAAAAAAAATATCTCGCAAAAATCTAGAGATTCCGGAGCTATGGCATATGCCCTTATTATGTGCATCTAGTGATTGATAAATGATTTTAAATTAATATTACGAAAGCAAGGGGTCGGCCAACTATTATGCAATAATCCCTTTTCACAATTTTCTTACTCTTCAGCAGAATTAAATAAATCGCAAACACCCTTCCCTTACTTCGGTAAGAAAGTCACAACACCCCTGCCTTTTCTTAACTTTTACATTGACTAATAAAACTGGTGAAAAAATTTTTGGTGACATTTATACAAATACTTAATCTTGTGTAATTCATGTGTGGAAAATTAAGGTTGTTCCAAAAGCTAAAATTTTTTTTTCTGACATATTTAGTCAATTATTTTATTTAAATGTACAAATTTAAAAACATTTTATAAAACAGAGGGTCACTTAAATGTTGTGAGAAACTTCTAGACGAGTTAGGGCACATCATCAGGATTAAAATTGCATAGGAATCTGTTGGGAGTGGTTTGTTGTTCCTCTGAATACGTTAAATTAACAGAATTAAGTTTCGGTCGTGTGTTGGCAACAGATATTTTATTTTCAGCTAACGCAAGTGATGTCATCCGGGCATATCATTATGGAATCTGTATACAAGACATGCATTGTTATAAGCATGTGTCTCTTCACTATGTCACTTCACTATGTTGTTGTTTCCGGTTATGTACCGTATTTTGTTAAGCTGTATTTATAGTTAATATTTTCAGTTGTATGCTGCATCGAGATGGTACTGTATGAAATGAAGAAATATTTAAATCTTCAAGTTTCTTCAAATAAGTTAACATTTTCACCCACTACTGTGCTTGCTCTGCTAACGCGTCAACAGACTCTATGCCTGGAAATGTCGTCGTACGCGGTTAGGGGTGCTTCTCTATTATGACCTGTTTAAATGCACACGAAAAAAAACAGATCATAATAGCGAAGCTCTCCTAGCGGTGAATGAGAACATTTCCGGGCATGGGTTCCTATGTAGTTTTAATCTTGTTGATGATAATGCCTTAAATCCCTTAAATCTTTGCGCAACCCCCTGTAGTAAAGAACGTTTTTAAACTTGTACATTTCGACAAAAATAGATTAAAAATACCATTTAAAGAAACGGCAGCTTGGAAAGTCAATCGCATATTTGAAATCAGTTATACGAAAGTATCTAAGATGTGTGGAAAAAAATCTCTTGCAACGGAAAAAAGAAAAAAAATTATTCCCCGAAGTGCTGCAATATACTAATTTTAAGATTAAATTCAAACAAAAGATGGAAATTCATAAAAAAAAACTACGTATTCATTCATTTAATAAAATTTCAAGGTTTTTTTTTAAATTTTTTTTTTTTTTTTTTTTTNTTTTTTTTTTTTTTTTTTTTTTTTTTTTTTTTTTGCTGAATCGTTTTTTTTTTTCTTCAAAAAAAGTGGGGCTGCATGTTACGTAAGCATTGCTCATTTCCCACCTTCGCCACTTGCCAGCAAAATAAGCTACTCACAATGCCCTACCAACTTTACGTTTTTATGTAATTTTTGAAAGGCTTTCAAGATTTCAATTTTAAAATTTTATTACCAAAGATAAATTTCTCAAGCAAAAAGTGAAAAAGTTAGCAACTTTGTAGTCATTTTCGTAATATGTTGAGATAAAATGCAATTTTTATGTTTAACTGTGTTGTGCTTTTTTCTTTGTAGATGGGTTGTAAGATATTGTATGTGATAACAAAATACACACGCATGACAACATACATGTGGATGTTTTGCGAAGGATTTTATCTACACAAACTGATAGCAGCATCTTTTGCAGAGCAGAAGTCTCTCAAAATGTTCTATTTTATAGGATGGGGTAAGAACAGTATTCATTTATTTATATTTATTAGATACACTTTTAGAAGCACTTATATTTATTAGATGCACTTTTCTGGTTTGCTGGGCGTTGGACTCGCGTTCGTGAGAGGGGGATTTCAAATCCAGCCGGCGGAAGACTTCTCGTGAGCGACTGATGCGCGTTGAATCTGTCGGGTCTCAAAGTCCTCCGTGTTCCCAAAACAAATTATACCTCTGGGAATACTGAATTGGAGATTGATCATTCTCTGGTTTAGATAAAAAAAATAACCATCAGTGGCTGAATGAATGGGCCCGCCCTATTAACGGGTGTGACGTCTGGGTGCGTCAGAAGTCGAATTCTTGGCCATAGATGGCGCCACTTTATGCCTAAGAACAATCGCACCCCCTCTGCCTTGATGGCCGACTACTTTTTTGTGGAAAAATAGAAGAACAAAAATTTTCTTTCTTTAAAAGGTCTCAAGATACAAATGGCTGAAGCTAATAAAAATTTGATAATGTTTGAAACTGTGTCGTCAATACTTTTTTTCCTGAAATTTCGATTTATATTTCTTTTCCAGTGTTTCCAGTATTCCCTGTTGGAACGTTTTCGTTTCTCAGATGGTATTTCGCTGACGAAGAGTGAGTAAAACTAAAATATTTGTTTTAACTAGACATTAGAAAAATAATGCATTTGACGGAAAATTATAATTTTATTCTTTTTTAATCCTTGTCAAAAATTCAAGTAAATTACCCAATACATGCAGATTTCATTCGAATATATTGTCCAATTAGATTATTCTAGATGCATTTCTGAGTCATACCTGATCGTTGAAAATGTAAAATGAAATGCATCAGCGCTCTGTGTTCAAAGTAGAATGTAACTAAGTTAAATCTTGAGAAAGGTATCCGAAAATTTTTATTTTTTAAATATTTTCTCTGGAATATTCTTTGTATCTACTGAATCCGTGATTTAAATAATCAATAATTTAAATCTGTCTGATTTAAAATATGACTTTCAAGTCTGATACAAAATAAGTGAATCATGTTTTATTAAACTTAGTGTTTATGCTTCCAATTGATTCTAAATAAATTTAAACTACAAAGCTTTTCATTCAATGTGAATGAAAAGAATTAATAGTAAAGTAGTGGAATACGGAAGTCAAGCCTTATTGGCTACAGTCAGTAAGCGAGTGGGTGACAGCTTTGATCAGCCCGTGTAGGGACCGAGGATGTGCAGTATCGATCCTCATTAAACTGTTCCACCGCAAAGTGCTTCACTTCGAGAGCAGGCTACCAAAGCAGGGGAGTCATTCCCTTGGCAGATGATCAAAATTTCGATTGCATGTTTTCGGATCATCCTGAGAGATGTTTCCTAGATCGTCGCCCATTGTGCAGCTCTAGTGTGACGTAAATAAAGTACCTACCTATCTCAAAATATACAGCGAAGAAAAAATGTGATTTGCTTATGTTTAGACCATAATTGCGACTTCGCCACATTTCTCTGTTAGAAATACAGATAAACCGTTGTAGAAAATTTGAGATGTCGGAACTTCCATAATAAAAGGGGCAACATGCTCAACAAAACATATGCATGACATATTTTAACATATACATGGCATTCATTAACATATACATGACGTATATAAGCATATTTTCCATTAATTAAATTTATAAAAATGCAAAACAAATCCCATTTTAGATTTTATTTGTTTGTATTTTCAATATTCTTTATTTTTTAAATTTGATAAATTTTATTCAGGATTAAGCTTTAATTTTTCTGGTGCATAATATTTTCTTAATTTGGAAAGGTGAACAATTTCTGTTTTTTTACTATAGCTATTCTTTTTAACTGTTTCCTAATTCACATCAGACTTTTTGAATGATGTTATAAGGACCACTAAAAGTTGGGGAGAGTTTTCTAGTGTTAGGATATTTAAACTCTTCATACATGACTGTGTCACCTGGTGAAAAGTTTATACTCTTGAATATTAATTGCTCTTATGAGTGTTAATAGAATATTAATGAAATCTTGAATATTAATGACTCTTTGTGAAAGAATGACTTTCTACGTTTTAAAATTAATAAGAGAAATCTGTTTTAAGCCTATCATGTAATATATATAAAGGCTCTTATGAGACATTTTATATTACAGTCAAACCCCGCTATAGTGAAAACGGTTTATACTGAACTCCCGGATATAGTGAACGAAATGTTCGGTCCCGTGCCTTGCTATACACGGATAATGTTATTTTTTGTGGATATAGTGAACCAAAAAAGTGAGGAAGTTCGATAGAATGAACTTTTTTCTGTCTTCGACTGATTTTTTTAAAAAAAAATTTTTAATAATTTTGAAATTTCTACTTCAAAATAAATACATATACCGATTTTCAAAACCATCCGTAGAGGGGAATGTAGCGATAAGCATTTTTTAATCTCACTTTCTCATACCTAAACAAACCAAGCAGATGTTTCCAACCCAAGCAGACGATGCACCTGTAAGGTGTCAGTGGGATCAATATGCATTTTCTGTCAGAGGGAATGAGTAATTATTCATTATTGGTCAAAGGGTTGGACACTAATATTTGTCGATAAGGACCTCATTTCAACTCCTTTTTGCTCTCAGTTCAGTTAAAATAAATCCTGCAAACAAGTGTTTCAAATTTAACTATGGCGAGCAGTAAGCGTAAAACGTTCTCCATTGATGATAAAATGGGCATAATCAGAAAAATTTAAAATGGATGCAATCAAGCTGATATTTGCAGGGAATATAAACTATCCAAATCTGCAGTTTGTAACATATGGAAAAAAAGGCAGTTAATAATTTCTGCTCATGAAAAAAATTTAAATGGTGGAAAAAAGTTGAGAAGAGCAGATTACAAGGATAATGAAGAAACATTGCTGAAGTGGTTCACCAATCGAAGAAGCCGCAATCTTCCAGTATCTGGCAAATGTTGATGAATTTGCTAAGCGATTTTATGA